ACTGTGTATGATTGTAGAGAATTACAATACAGAATATAAACAAGAAAAGCATTGATGCAAAGCATCAAAGGGCGACGCCAAAAGAATTCGATCCACCTAAATACTTAACAAAAGATGTGTACTTTATAGCAGTACCATTACATGTGATTGGAGGCTAGGGCCAGTTTAAGTTGAAACTTTAACCAAAAAAGAATAGACTCTGTTTTGCCAAGATGCAAAGACAATTTATAGTCAATTAAGCAATCTTATAAGACTCATGCTATAAGAAAGAATTTCTTCAGATTTATTTTACGAGACACAAGGATTCCTGAGTCATCAGCATATAATCACAGGCACGAGTATCGGACCTGGGAAGAAAAAATATGACCAGATGACCAGATTGATAAAAAAAACTGTGTTTATAAAAACCAAAAAAAAAAATGTAAATAATGATCCCCTTTAAAAATATACTATCAACTTTTTAAAGGGGGTCATTATTTACATTTTATTTTGGTTGTTGACACTTTTAAGATGAACACAGGTTTTTTATCAATCTGGCCATATTTTTTCTTCCCAGGTCTGATACTCGTGCCTGTGCATTATAATAAAAGCTTATTGCTTAGGGTTGAAGACATGTCATTGACATATATTAGACATAAAAGAGGACCTAAAATGAACATCAGGGGGACACCATAGGTACTCAGAGCAGTAGTAGAATGAGTACCAGCCACATCCACCAGCTGCGGTCTATCAGAGATAAGACTTAAACCATGTAAGAATGTCATTATATATGGCAGATGCTTGAAGTTTCATGAAGAAGAAGGAAAACAACTTCTTCATGTGCAGTATAGTGTGTTCAACTGTATCAAATGCCCTTTGTAGATCTAAAAGTATCATGCAATACTGCCTTTGTCCATTTCAAATAATGCAATCTGTTAAATGAATCAAACATGTGTCAGTTGAAAAACCACTTCTAAACCCTGACTGAAACTGCCTGACCATGACTCGAACCCATGACTTTCAGAAGACCAACTGAGCTATCCGGCGGCTACACATTTTCTCTTTAATAATGAAACAGTTCTAAACCACAACATATTTCCCCACTATATCGATTTGTGTCCGTGAATTTCTTATGTTACAGAGCATAGGAAATTGAACTCATGCTTATATGCAGTCACAGGCTGAGAAAAACTTTGAGCTTGACCAGAACTCAAACCTGTGACCGACATAAGAAATTTTATGAAGGCTGATTTGTATTTTGCATCAAGGGCACCGGGCAAAAACATGAAAATGCAACAAACAAACCACTATGTGGTAGATTGTATTTTCATGTTTTCATCTGGTGCCCGGTCACTTTTTGTACTATGTTGGTTTTCATGTGGCACAAATCACCCACTATAAATTTAGTGCACAAATTTATTCAAGGGCAAGTAACAATCTACTCTATGTACAGTCTGTTGTCGGGTTGACTCAGGAGACCTGGAGGTTGAGACCGGTGTCCCTTCATTACAAATAGATAAGACAGAAGCTGTCCTTTTCAAACTATGCACATGTTAGAAAAAAAAATAGAATAACTATTCAGAATATGATTTTTTGAGACTTTATTAATTATATTGCTTGATCCAAGTTTAAGGACAAATCAATACATGTTTTATCATTTATAACTTTAAATGAAAGTCTCATCCCTTTAATAATAATGACATAACTGTATCTCTTTAAATGCAGAAAAATTATAAGTCTCAACATATTAATATACTACTGTCTAATATATACATGTATGCACATAACATTAATAATTCCCAGTTTATATTAAATAAATATGAAATCCTAACATTAACATTAACATGCTTTTGATGACCTTACAACTGGTGAATTATATACAACAAAAATAGTATTATAAGTAATACCTAAGATAGACAGAAAAGAACAAATAATTTAGTAAACATGAGTTACTTCCCCTTAAAATAGAGAAAACCTGAAACCCAAAAGAACACCCTAAACAGCAAAATTATGAAATGCTGCATGCTCAGTTTTATTAAGCCATGCAAATTAATGGTAAAGTATTCATAAAAAAATAGATGGCCATGTGACAGCAGTAATTGCAGAAAATCGGATAGCTTTCAACATCCGGATACTGGTACACTTTGTAAAAACAACCATTCTGCGCAACAGATAAATGTAATAAGGATTAAATCAATAGGATAATCGTTTACAACAGTTCCATTACCTATCCTTATACTCAATTGCAGGTGAACTTTCTTCTTGTAGGAAAATTTTGAAAATGTATAAATGAATGAATGAACTGATAGTGATACGGCCTCAATCTAGACCACAACGATATTCGAAATCCGGGTTTTAGTATTGTCAATAAAACAAAGGGACGAGCTGTTAAACTTAACCTGCAATTTCGTGAAAATAATATCACAATGCACATGCTTTTTACATAAAGTTATTAAATACAAATATAACAACACATTTGTTTACTTGATTTTTACGAATCAAAATAAAACTAATTAACACAACATGAAATTAACTGCTAATAATAACAGCTCCTTCCATAGGCCAAAATAAAAAGCATTCCATAATAGACGACGCCGCTCACCGGCGTCGCCAATAAAGCTCTGTCATAATCTCTTTTCTCATTTTGGTTTAAACATACTTTATTCAACAATGCTTTCTATTTACATACTAGGTAATGAAGCAACATTGCCAAATGTTTAAGATTTCTACTGGAAGACATCTTACAATATCAGTGTCTATCAGTTTTGGGTATCTATTAAAGTGACATTATGCTCATATTTTCATAGTCAAGTTGAGCTGAATTGACTTAATATTTCAAAAGATTGACTGTCAAAATGGTGTTTGACCAAGAGTTGATATTTGAAAATGCTTAGGATAAAATTATATATCTGCCTAAAATTTAAAAAGACTGCCCACTCTTTTTATAAACTAAGCGTTATAGGTAAATTCTTATGGATATTAGCAGCATTTTCGTCTGTGCTTATTTATTGTTTATGCGAATTAATTATTAAATTAAATGGAATTATGGCAAAATGAAAACTTATTTTGATCTTCACCCGTTCACTCACTATATACCCTTGGATGGGCATAATGTCACTTTAATTAATTAATTAATTAATTAATAATTAATAAGATAATTGCATATTTTAAATGTGACTTCAATGTGAAACTTATCTATCGCTGATTTGCTGATCTGTAAGACCCCTACCAGCTTGACCGGCAGTCGGCGTAAATGTCAGTTTAGGTATAAAGGCCTAGATCTCTGTCGTTGAGCTAGATCTTAATATTCTTGTATCACTGTATAAAATCTTATCACCAGGATATCTACAGCTATTTTCTGAAGAAAAAAAAACGAATTTAAAGAGTAAGGAAAATAAAATAAAAATAAAGTCTCTATGTATGCATTGTATATGTCTTGCGTTATATTACGGTAAGAAGGGTAGATGTAGCTGAAAATAAGGTTCTCTTTTGATAAGGAATTTCATCGAGAAGATCGTTAAATGACGTTACACGGATGAATGTCTGCAAGACTGCATGATCGCAACTTTTCGGCCTACTTCATACTTTTGTAACGATCATAATTATTCAGCAGCTATGACAATTCCCTTACCAAAAAAAGGGCTCTCTGGTGAACATTGCGGCAAGTTTGCCGCAAACATTGCGGTGAGTTTGCGGCAAACTGCTTTCAGCAATTATTTACCATGCAAATGAGGTTTGCGGCAAATTTGCCGCAACTCATGAGGTTAGCGGCAAACTTGCCGCTAAACTATAGGGGGAGGTAGCTTCTGTTTGCGGCAAATTTACCGCAAACCTCATTTGCATGGTAAAAGTTTGCAGATGTTCGCCAAAAGTTTGCGGCAAATTTGCAGCAAACTTCATTTGCATAGTAAGTTTGCGGATGTTCGCCAGAAGCTTTGGTAACACTGCGGCAAACTTCATTTGCATATTTGCCAGTTTCAGCAAATATGTTATGGCGATATTTTGGCAAACATTTTGGTAAAGTTCTGGCAAACAATTTTTTCAAACATTGGAATAATAAAAACTAGCTGAATTATAAGAAAACAAATACATATTGGTTTAACACATTTTTTCAATAGAAAATAAAAGAAATATTACAAACATATCAGTAGAATAAAATGAATTTGATAAACTTGTAAATAAAGAAATTAATTCCAAAAAGAGATAAATTTTACACACATTTTATTAGCAACTGATTCTATACATATTTGACTTTCATAAATTTCCACTCTTTAGTTATGATGCTATCATGAATTGTTCATATTACTTAATAATCAATTAAAACAAGAGCCGGTTGAACCGGGGTGATCCTAGATACAGAAAAGTATATCTTTTGAAGTTTCAGGGTTATGTCCCAGACAAAGTTCAAAGTGTGATAATTCCAAAATAGTTGTAAAATCCCACTTTAAATAACGACGTTATGGGCCGTACACATTTTTGCTTCAAGGTCATGCTGTGACCTAGACCTTCAAGGTAATGACCCAAATGTTGCATGTGACATATCGTCTCAATATGGTGATCATTTCGGTGAAATAGTTGTAAAATCCGACTTCAAATAACGAATTTATGGGCCGGACACGATTTTGCTTCAATGTCATGTTGCGACCTTGACCTTCAAGGTATTGACCCAAATGGTGTGTGCGACACATCGTCTCAATATGGTGATCATTTCTGTGAAATAGTTGTAAAATCCGACATCAAATAACCAAGTTATGGGCCGGCACAATTTTTGTTTAAGGTCATGCTGTGACCTTGACCTTCAAGGTAGCGACCCAAATGTTGCGGGCGACAGGTCGTCTCAATATGGTGAGCATTTCTGTGAAATAGTTTTAAAATCCAACTTGAAATAACAAAGTTATGGGCTGGACACGAATTCAGGTTCGTATGTACGTACAGACAGACGGACAGACAACCCAATGACTATATGGTCCGCCGAAATTTTTCGGGGAGCATATAAACAATGTTTGACAATAGCTATATAGCACCATAAATGGGAAATATAATATTGTTGTAAAAGATAAAAATCAGAAAAGTTACAGTTTGAAATCTTCTATCTGGACAAAAAGTTTCATTCAAACATGAACTGGCATGGTATAACATACATACTTCGACATTCACTTAGACAAATCACTATTAATAACAATAAATACTAACAATAGCGTTATGTGTTATGCAAAAACAGACTAGACCAATAATGGCTTTCAAAATTGTAAAAATGAATCTCAAAAATATATTTTGGTCTTAAACAAACAACATATTTCATGGACATAATACCTTCAGATTTAAACTCATATGTCATATAACATTATGATTGTGAGCAAAACAATATCTGACACGAACAATTATGGCTTTCAAAATTGTTAAAATTAATCACACCAATATATTTGGGTCTTATACAAACAACGAATTTCATAGACATAATTTTTTGTTTGCTTGTTTTGGGTTTTTACGTCACATCAACACAGTAAAGGTCATATCGTGACGTTCAGATGCCCTTCCTTGCATTATTTCAGGCACGAAAAGGTATCTGAGTAGAACCACTGACGTTCAGTTAAGCTAGCTGGATAGCTTCCTCACAAGACAGATTCCAAAGTCCCTGTCGGGATTCCAACCCACAGCGGTGAGGGGCAAGTGGTTTGAAGTCAATGACCTTAACCACTCAGCCACGGACGCCCCTCATAGACATAATAACTAAAGAATTAAACTAAATGTCTTTAGTCATGTCATATAACAATTGCAAGCAAAACAAAAACAAACTAAAGCAATAATGGCTTTCAAAATTGTAAAAATGAATCTCAACAATATTTTTGGGTCTTATACAAATATAGACATAACTATTAAAGATTAAAACTAAATGTCTTTAGCCATGTAATATAATGATTGCAAGCAAAACAAAAACTGACTAGAACAATAATGGCTTTCAAATTTGTAAAAATGAATCTTAACAATATATTTGGGTCTTATACAAACATAAACATAATAACTTAAGAATAAAACTAAATGTCTTTAGTCATGTCATATAACGATTGCAAGCAAAACAAAAACTGACTAGACAATATCGTAAGTTTGCATGAAATTGGCTTGGCAATTTATGAGATGTTGTTTAAAGATCAAGTTTACGGACGAAAGATAGACAAAAGCTCGCAATGTCACTTTGTTAGCTAAAAACGCACTACTTTACTCTTTCACCCTTCCAAGTTTCAGTGCCCTGGCCATTGTGTGTATTTTGGTGTTGACTGCTTTGGTGACTAAGCTTCTCTCCATATTTAGTTTATTGGTGCAGTACACTGAAAAAAACAAGGTTTATTTTTCATTTCCATGTTACCATGTTTATACTGGATAAAACTAGAACTATCACTGAAGGTGAATGATACCCAAAAACCCCACTTTGAAGTAAAGTGGCAGTAATCTATTAGTAAAGCCCACCTACAAATGAAGAAAATAAACACCAAAGGCAATTATTATTTATTGCTGGCTTGATTTTGATCTGTTGGATGAACATGTATTTGCATTGCAAAACCTAGATTTATTTACAAATGACAAGTGGCTCATATATTATAAGTTTATCTAACTTACATGTAGTTAAGAAATCAAGGTATCATGTTAAAAAAACACCAAAATAACAAACAAGAGCGATCAGTGATCACATGTGTCGCCTCATGATGGCCAATTTCATGTTGGGACAAGTTTTGTGACAGACAGACAGACAGTGCACAACTAGACTTGGTACTGATCATTCCTTTAAAGTTTGGATGAAATTGCACCAGTAGTTTTTGAGGAGTAGTCCGGACAAGCTTTTATGTATCTGGCAACACACAGAAAAAAACCCACCTTTTCATCAAACTTGCCAAAAATATCATTCAACCGGAAAACCTGTGCAATATGTGCAAGGACTTGAGCAACAGATCAATCCTGTAAAGTTTTCATTGAAATTGCATTTGTGGTATAAGAGATGTAGTCCGGACAAACTTAAAAAAAGGGCCATACCTCTGACAAAAATCATTGAACCGGAAAATGCTGACAATATGCACAACTACACTTGGTACTGATCATTCCTGTAAAGTTTGGATGAAATTGCACCAGTAGTTTATGAGGAGTAGTCCAGACAAGCTTTTGTGTATCTGGCAACACACAGAAAAAAACACCTTTTTATCAAAGGGCCATAACTCGGCCAAAAATCATTCAACCGGAAAACCCATGAAATATGCACAAGGACTTAAGCTACAGATCAACCCTGTAAAGTTTCATTGAAATTGCATTAGTGGTATAAGAGAAGTAGTCAAGACAAACTTTAAAAATAAAAATTATTAAAGGGCCATAACTCTGACAAAAATCATTGAACCGGAAAATGCTGACAAAATGCACAACTAGACTTGGTACTGATAATTCCTGTAAAGTTTGGATGAAATTGCACCAGTAGTTTATGAGGAGTAGTCCGGACAAGTTTTGTGACGGACGGACAGATAGACAAGACGACGGAGAAATGATCCCTATATGTTGCCACTACTCCATAGAGGCGACACAAAAATGAACCATGCTGTGAACATGACAGCTAGGTCAGAACTCAAAGTTAAAACCAGGGTAATTCAAATAACCATTAGGATTTTTCTTCTAAATGCCACTGTTTGAAAGAACAATGTTGACTAACCAGTCTTACTTGTATGCAAAACTCACTTTTTCAATTATACATCAATAACAGTGGTTAAAATATACACAGATACTTTTCTGACAAATTCTAAATCATTACTGACATGATGACTGAGAAAAACTTGAAATGTGTCAATAAAACACGGATGCCCCCACACGCCACTGTTCTGTCAATCTTATGACTCTAGGTCAAATAGTTTTTGGACTACATGTGCCACAAGTTGAAAACTAAAAATCAACAAAGGGCCATTATTCTGTTTAATTTAGTTGCAGAAAAAATTCCTTCCTTTACTACCATCTACACATTAAGTTTGTTAATCCCTGGAAGTTTAAGCAAAATCTGCCATCCGGTTTAAGAGGAGTTGCGTTCACAAGATTTTGGGACAGACTGACAAGTGCCACGCTATATGCTCCCACATTGTGGGGGATAAAAATAATCTTATTTTACTTACATGTTAAACTGTCAAATCCTCTTTTGTGCCAGGCAGTATCTACTGCACTGGACATACCACTGCGGGTTTTACAGGGAAATTTCGGGGAAAGTCTTAATCTGCTGTGAGGTTTTTTAAGATGTGGACCACTTCTGATTTTTTTTCAACCTTTGACTGTCTGTGAGAACTGTAATTGTAAAAATATATTTCAAAAATATTTTCTGTATTTTAAAATTCATCTTTAAACGTAATATTGACAAATATTGAAGATTGAACACCAATGAATTGACAATAACATATTTATAATTAATGTAACACAATGTTCATACAGTTACAAGAATAAGTTTTGTTAATTATTAATGCTAATTGCACGACTTTTTCCAGACCAATTTTAGTAATCACTTTTATGAAATAATTCGGACTGCATATCGATTATTCATCACATGAAGATACATCAAATTGTTTCTATTGAAGACGACCCCAAATAGCATTACAAAATTATCACAGTATTATCATTTAATTGCTACACCATGATTATAAATATATATAAAAAAAACCTCATAGATTTCAACTTACAGTTTAATAGGCATTTTTGTTTGATGTATTGTTGATGATTGTTAATCACAATTGTATAAATCTGACCATTCACTGTCATTTGTAACTGTAGCATCTGACTGATGAATAGACCTTGAATAAAAAAAATACATATGTACAAACAGTATATGGAGAGATATTCATATATTGAAGCAACTGACATAACACAAACAGTTCAACAACACCAGTCAGTTTTGCATAGTCCTTTACTTTCGTAAATAAACAAAATACAGAAAACAAACTACCAGTACTCACTTTAGTGCTGGCAAACATCTGGCAAAGGACATCCTCCGAGATCTTGTCAATAAGATCTTCCATGATGTTGTGTTCTGATACCATTGATTCTTCATGATGCACATCCCTTAAAAAGAATGCATGTATTTAATATGAATTTTAGTCTTAAACCAATGAAGGTAAAATATGATAAACAAGATCAACAAGGAAAGGCGGCGTTCAATGAACGCAACCCCCATATGACCAAGCAACAAGTACCAATGGCAAGGAGCCCAGACGGACCCAGTTTGTCATGTAGAAATAAATACTTTTTTAAATAAACAATTACACATTCATGTTATTTTGAAAAAAGAAATATGTACATGAATATAGAGTAATATTCTTTGGTTCCCTAAACCACGAGTGTGCCAGCAATATAGGATTATACCATGATAAGCTGCATAGACATATAATTACAAAATAATTTTTGAAATTCTTCCAATTCAAGTACATGTTATGTCGAAAATATCATTGTAAATGTAAATGTGTCTTACTCCATTTCCTTGATCTTATGCAGCAGATTCTGTCGGCATAGAAGCCAGTGCTGTCTCAATGATATTTCCAACACGTCTCTCCATTTCTTTTCATGTTTTTATTTCCAATTGTTGGTATATTTAGTGTTGACAACAAATTGTTGACCCTCACCGGCCCACCTACACTATCAATCATTGCTGTAAGAAAATGAAAGAAACAAATTATTTCATTAAAGTATACAAATATTTTGTCAAAAAAAAACTTCACATGGATTGTAATTTACATAACTGTGATAATAACACATTGCATAAATTAATATAGAGCTATTTTTAGCTGCCTCATGTACGTTGAATATTAGTACTACTGTGACTGTGTGTATTGGCAGCATAGTGTAAACTGTGTCTTTTATATAATGTACATGTAGGATTCTGTAATGTCTTACTAAAAATTGCATTGTTGCAAGATTTAATTTAGCAACGTTTTATCATTTGTTTTTCAAATTTCTCAGTGACTTTGGGGAAATTAAAACAGTTCAGAGGGAAGTTTATAAAACATTTCACAATAGGAAGTGGCTAGCCGTACGGCTAGCCAAAAGTTCTAGCCGTACGTGAGTCACGTACGACTAGCCAGGACACACTGTATTGGCTAGCCGTACGGCACTTTTCAAAATTATATGGAGTATGTGAGTCACGTACGGCTAGAACTTTTGGCTAGCCGTATGGCTAGCCACTTCTTTCACAATAAGGAGTAGTGTTTTACAGCTAAACACAAACAAGATACATGTATTCTGTATAATTAATTAATTATTTAAAAATCTGAAACATAAATTTGGTCCGCATAATTTTACATGTTTGACATCATTGGAAGACAAGTAAATAAACACTGATAAATCATAATGTATCGATATATTCATTTTGGTACGAGACATTACATCTATGAATTCATTATCAGTATATAGTATCCCGGGACAACCAATATTCAATCAGTTAAACTGCTTTTAGCCAATAATGAAAGGAAGGGGAAATTATACTTTAAATTTATTTTAGCTATTAATGCATCTATTAACACTTATTCATTTTCAGGTTGGTACATTTTCAACAAGTCTTGATCTTTCTTAGAAATTCAATAAAAACAATATGACCCACTCGGGTTACTCCCAGGAATATTTTAACCTAAATTCAAACAGCAGGGTAATCATCATGGAAAATTTGTTAAAGATAAATCAGGGCAACTAAAAATTGTAGAAAATTTCACAATAGTCTATTCAACGATTTTCAACATTTTTTCAAGATTTTAAAAAACTTACACCAAATGTTATAACATATGTACAGCACAATGCATTGGTATGACTACTGTTAATGTGAATAAAAAGGCAGTTAAAGGTGTTACTTCTTATTACGCTATTTGTGGTGCAAAATGATAAATGAATCCAATATTTACAGCCATTTTACCTTCCCCACATTATAATATTAGCAACTATGGAAACTTGTCTAGATCGGCCAGCTGATAACGCTAACAAAAAAATTATTCTACAATCATCACATGAAAAAATTTGATAACAACATAAGATTTTATTAATAAGGACCCCCATGTAAAGTCTGATGAATATTTAGTGGTACATCATATAAATAAATGTTTTAAATACACCTAGGACTGAGGTAAATGGTAAAACTCTTTAGCCAATACTCTTTAAAAAAAATTAACTTTTTTAGAAAAAATTTACCACTATTTTAAACAAAGGACTATTTTGATATAGTGAAAGTTGGACAATTTATATTGTGTCACTTAAAACAAACAGTTTCTTAATGTTTTTCTGAAAACATCTGACAATTAATCAAGTGTGGCAGTTCTGCAAGTTTTGAAGTTAATACAACATGTGACCACAGGGGGCCCACACAGTGTTTGGATGGTATATACTGCTTGATAGTGACCTAAAAATGAGATTTTAGTCATAACCTTATAATATGTATATAAATATAGACAAGGGGCATTACTCGCTAAATAGAGAATTTTCGATCACACTCAAATTCATGCGAGATTTTCCACTAATTAAATAAAAAAATTCCAAAAACTATACTGCGTTGCATAGCTTATATAACCCACAATTGATAAACACTAAATCTATTCTGATTCCCTTAGCCCATTTTAAGAAATTTATTCAAAACCGTTCACTTCTGTCACAAAATTGCTTAGTCGTACGAGATGTCGCAACACCAAATTCCACGGGTAAAATATCAATTTTAAAAGGGGGAGGTACAAATAAACGCATGCAAACAATAACACAACATAGTTTCTATTACCTACCTGCGCAAATAGTCGTGAAGCGCTCTATATTCGTCTGTTTCGAACGAAATCTTCAAATCAGTGCAGAAATCTGCTTCGGCGAATACATGTTGGAAATTCTGGTCATGGTGTATGGAAACCTTTCATTGGTTGTCGTTATAAACAAAGTTCCTACCGAACCAATGAAAGGTCTCGATACACCGGCTGGTCACGTGACCGGGGTTTCCCCAAGATATCTAGGTCGAAGCAGATTTCTGCTCTGATTTGAAGATTTCGTTCGAAACAGACGAATATAGAGCGCTTCACGACTATTTGCGCAGGTAGGTAATAGAAACTATGTTGTGTTATTGTTTGCATGCGTTTATTTGTACCTCCCCTTTTAAAATTGATATTTTACCGTGGAATTTGGTGTTGCGACATCTCGTACGACTAAGCAATTTTGTGACAGAAGTGAACGGTTTTGAATAAATTTCTTAAAATGGGCTAAGGAATCAGAATAGATTTAGTGTTTATCAATTGTGGGTTATATAAGCTATGCAACGCAGTATAGTTTTTGAATTTTTTTATTTAATTAGTGGAAAATCTCGCATGAATTTGAGTGTGATCGAAAATTCTCTATTTAGCGAGTAATGCCCCTTGTCTATATTTATATACATATTATAAGGTTATGACTAAAATCTCATTTTTAGGTCACTATCAAGCAGTATATACCATCCAAACACTGTGTGGGCCCCCTGTGCATGTGACTTTATGCAATTTAGTCAGGCATGACATCAGTGCCACAGAATTAAGAATGTGTTTGAATTTAGGTTGTGATTGAAAATTGGTTGTTTCGGGATACTTAATGTAAACTATGATGCAATACATTAATCACTTACCTGTTCCTAATTTTGTGTTGACAACGAAACATGGCATTCCAACTTTCACAGGTCTTCAATCTACTAGAGTCTGTGTGTTTTTCCATAGGGAACACAATTCACATGACCGCATTCTGTGTTTCGACATTTCACATACAAATAACCAGACACTCCCTGTTTAAATTCACCTAACATGTTGTCAAAAGTTAATCAGTGCTGTTAATGGTAGCCAACTGGTCCAAGTCTACATTTTTTACAAAATCTTAGGTTTGACCGTAAACACGCCAACAGGCCAAACTCAACGATTCTTCTTCCCTCTTTCCAACCCTCATTATCAAACCGATTTAGGAAGAGTTGATGTCTTGTAGAGCTGGTTTGGTTGACACGTAATACTGGTTACCTGCCACTATAGTTATGTTCTACAATAAAGTCGGAATACTTGAGTTTTCTGCATCTTTTTACACTTTTTTTTAATCGACCGAGCGTATAAGCTGTTTGATTTTATTACCTGTCAATTACATACTGATTACACGGTTGATGCACACAGTATGTTAATCTTCGGTAGATGTTCGGTAAGTTCCGTGAGATGTACGCTGTACGATAGAATTTAATTTAATTTGTATCTCTAAAACTAAGTGTACTCAGCGTTATAGCGCAATAGGGTAAATCACGAGTTTATAATCTTAGTGCCACGTAGTTTTAAGTTCGAGGCCGCGTTGGTCCATGTTTTGTTTCTTATTATACTTTTCAACATTATTGAATCTATATATGATTATTTATGTTGTTCGTTTGTTTTCATTATGTTTTACTTAATTTTGTTATGTATATCTCTTTTTAAAACATTGTTTTTTTAAGAATTCATGTTTTAAAATTAAAACGGATTAAAATCAATAAATGTCATTTCAATGCCGTAAAACACACTTACAAATCTGTTCTTTAAAATATACTGCAAAAATAAGAAAAGTACTCAAACAATGGCAACAAGTAAGGATCGAACGCACAGACCCTCTCAATTATCAGGCATTCTCTTTACAGCGACTGTCCGCTATTGTGAATTTACGAAAACTTTCACATTAAGCTGGCGTGACTTTCAATCGATGACTTATATAACTCCACATTATTCTCGTAAACTACAACGGACCAAAACGGAAGTGGGTCGAATATTTAATGAGTCATATTTATGTATTTAAAATTGACAGGTCAATAAAATCAGACTATATTCACGCTGTAAGACCCATGTTAGATATCTGCGGAAATTACGTCATTATTCTCTTGGGGAATACTACAACGTGACCGGGGATATTCGCTATTATTAGATTCCGACCTTTAATACGTAAACAAACGGAAGTTCGTTACGGATAATGGCGAATATGGCAGTAATTGTCGAAGATGTGCCGATTTCATTATGGGTCTTCTTACCTTATAAATTTTTTAACTGTTATTCGTGGAACTACAATACCCTCCATGTATACATATGATGTTCTCAATTTGATAACTCTTAGGCAAAATAAAAATTTGTTTTGTTTCCATCTTCCCGACCCAGTTTTAAATAAGGCTGGGTAGGTCAGGTAGGCTAGGTTTGCATGGGACTTCTTAATTGAATTTATTTACATCCGTGGTTTATAGGTAGGTACATGAAGGACTTTTTTTAATATGTGGGCATAATAATATATATTCCTTGGAAAATAGTTATTTATGAAGCAAAGTTGGATTAGACTTTCAGAATGATATGTTTGTGGCGATTATCTGGCAAACTTGTTTTTAATAGAAAAGTTTTGGTGAGCTTTCAGCGAATAATTTTTTTGATAGAAAGATTCTGGCAATCTCTGGAAAATTAGTTTTCCACTGAAAGTTTCTGGCAAAACTTTTGGCGAACAAACTTAATTATTCTGGTGAATTCCGCCGGCAAAAGTCGCCAAATGTTTGCCACAGAAGTTTTGCCACTAGTGGCGATATCTGGCAAACACTTGACACAGTGTTTTGGCGAACTAAAAGGTTTGCAGCGAATTTGCGGCAAAGTTGCGGCGAGTTTGCGGCAAACCTTTCCTTTTGGTACGGGAAGACTTGCAAAAACATGTATGCAGTATAACCAGTGTCATGTTTACGTGCTGCTTAAGTTTAATCTTTTGTTTTCCTTGCAGCCCATTTCAGATTTACCTTTTCTTTTTCAAGTAGTCGAATATAGAAATTAAATGTGTATTGTCTCATATTGTCCTGTGATGATAATTTGGCCTTAACGGTACTTGGTAAAGTCCATTAAATGGTAAGTCTGCATATCATCCGAGACTAAAAGTACCAACAACTATATATAGTTTAATTCTAATAAGAATGTGTACCATCGTATAGAAAGCTCACTTTGGAAATCAAGGTCATAGTAACTTTTAATGATTTGAACGCTTTCGCTCTGCATGTAACTATGATGTTTTGTTGTTGTTGTTTTTTCCTCCCTTTTCACTTTGTCTGTTTTTTTCGGTATGGTCATTTGATTATGCATGTTCTTTGGTTCTTTATAAATTCTGCTTATATTTTATGTTTCTTTTTTATTTCATTTTTGTTCCACTCTTTAGAAACTAGCTACATTTCAAGTGTTTTTTTTTAATTTTTATTTAACATTTTAAAAATCAAATAAGTTTCAAACCACTATGATTACGATATATTAATAATTTGAATATATGGATCAATATTTAACACACTTCATTTCATTATAGATTTACATTTCTGATAACGCTTTTTTCCTAATGTTTGACGTTTTCCACAAACTTAAAAACTGCATATCACCTGTGTACACAAATATTCTATCTCAACCGCTTTGTAATATTAGAAACAAAACTGGTCAAATAAGAAAAACGATACATAAAAAAAACCCCCCCACTCAAATGGTAATGGTACTACTATGAATACGATTCACTAATGCATGAAACACACTGACATGGACGCTCTGTATCAAGTCATTAAAAATATGACGTTCTACTTTTGTGTTTTTCAGTCTGCTTTACCTCTTTTTTCCGCATTGCTATTAATTTTAATGTACATATTGGCTCAAGTTATATCGTCCTTATAAAGTATTCGGCAAAAATGCCCCTAGGTAAATATGTGAAAAACGTGTGAAATTATCTCCATATTTAACAGCATATAAAACGTTTTTGGAGAACGTTTTCTGTTTGCAAAATTTAAATAATTATTGTTATAATACATAAAATGAGAATAGAAAAACTCTAAACCCAAAAATTTTCCCTAGAAGTTATATATGATCTTTCTAAAATTTCAGTAAGCGGACTTAAAAGACGTAAACTGATAACCCCGCTTGTTTGCGTTAATCGATGTTGTATATAAACCAGATTCAAGACATGTCTGTGAAAATTAGGCCTCCTTTTATTCAATAACATAAGGCAAAGGCATTTTTTTAAGTTTGCCCTTATACTAAAAGGGCGGACATCTCTTTGTCCTTTCTCGTAGAGAAGGGGTATTCTGTGAATGCGTGTATGTGGTGCACGGTCACTCTCCTTCAAACATGTCTCATGCATGTATGTGTCGCATGGTCGAAACTCTCTCATATCATGACAAAGTTAAACCATGATTTTGGTCAGATTTTAAAATAACACATTAGGAGAAATAAATCTTATCTAGGAGGAGTTTAAAAGATTTTTTTTTTAACTTCTAAATCAGTCATGCAAAGTTTGTTGGAACATTTTGTATGTTTTATATAGGAGAGGTAATCTAGACGACTTTTTTGAACGCACGTAACGTCGCTTAGGTACGCTTACACAATTTGAATGTTATGAGGGAATGTCACTCTACAACCAGCTCTGTTTATGTGCAGCGTCCTCCTATTATCAGGGGAGGTACTGTAATCATACTTCATTTTGAAGGCAACAGTTTACTCTTCCTTAACTTTAAGCATTTGCATGTTTTAGGGAGGTACTCTTAATTGACTCTTTTTTAATAAAGTAAACCTCCTTTCAACCTTCCATTTACAAGTTTTTGAAGGGAGGTCTCTAACGACGTCATTTTTTAAGGCGCAACAGTAACCTCCTTTGAACTTAAACGCCATTTGCATATTTATAGGCTAGGTCACTCTAATAACTCTTCTTTTGAGAGGCAACAGTTACTCCTTTGAACTTACTCCATTTGCAATTTTTTAACGGGAGGTCAATCTAACCAGAATATTTTTAATTAGGGTGACAGTTATCTCCCTTTTGAACGCCTACGCATTTGGCAATGTTTTTAGGGGAGGTCACTCTAATAGACTTTTTTTAAGTGCGAACAGTTACATCCTTTAGACCTTTAACCATTTGCAATGTTTTCAGGGGAGTCACTAACAGCTCTTTATAAGCGTGAACAGTTACGATCCTTTGAACCCTTAAAGCCATTGGCAATGTTTTTCAGGGAAGCACTCTTTACTAACTTTTTTCAGCGCACTGTTACTCCTTTAAATCCTTACGTCATTTGAATGTTTTCAAGGGGAGGCATTCTTACGACTTTTTTTTAAAAACATACAGGTTACTCTTTTTCGGGAACTCTTACGCCATTAGTTGGCAATGTTTCAGGGGAGGTCACTTTAATTGACACTTTTTTGAGCGCTACAGATACCTCCCTTTTGAACTCTTACGCCATTTTCAATATTTTTAGAGGAGGTCATTCTAACCGACCCTTTTATGCGCAATAGAAACCTCCCTTTAAACCTCTAAACTTTCAATTAAAATTTCGGTTGGAACAAACCCAACTTAAGTGTTTTTCTTTGAGCAAAAGCGACATTCACAATAATAGATATAATAGAATCTCGTGACGGTAAAAATGAACTAAGACTAAAAACTTGAGAAGGAAATAAATTGTTTTGTTTGTTTGTAGTTCTTATTTACTTCTTCTTACTTTTAAAGGATTTACTTTGACTTTAGATTTTGTTTCTATTTAAAATACCAAAGATGCATTTAATTTTAATATATTCAAAATTTAAACGTAAAATTCAATACTAGACTAAACAATTCTTTTTCCGTGTTTCCTAAGATACGATATGCAAATAAACCAGTTTTTAGTTCGGCCGAGTATCTTTTTTAAAGATACTTGTTTAACGACATTTCATAACCTTTACATAATTAGTTATAAAGATTTTGGCAGGTTATATGGCCCTATATAAACGGTTGTTTGGAAATATAGTCCGCTTAGCGAGGGTTATATTGCAAATAACCGTTTATAAACGGTCATATAATCTTTCAGAAATATTCATAACGAATTTATAATACAGCAAACATCATTTTAAGAGAAAAAAGTATTAAGATTTCTTCATAAATCTACAG